CATTCAAGTTTGACTCTTTGGATGGAAAGATATGGTTTCCTCAGATTGTAGAAATAGCTCTTAAAAAGCCATCAATGACCAAAGTTTGCCCATTCACTATCACTTCTATAAAATAACCAGATACTCCAGGTTTGATTGCATTTTAAAATTTTGCAAGAGCTAGTTGACAAGAGAAAACTCTGAGATGAATGACCAGAGGGCAGCAATGCCTCTATAATAATACTTCCACTTTTCTTCAGAACTATAATCCATTTAGAACTAACATGCAGAGGCTTCTCACCATTGAGAACTTGGTTGAGGGCCTATCGACAAAGCTGATGCTGTAACTGAACATTTCTGGTTCCCCTTCACTGTCAATTTTTCTATTTTTCTCCACTTTGCTCTGCGGTTTTGGAACCAGACCTAATAAAGGGGTAGGGTGAGGGGAAACCTTAGTGAAATGAACATACACACACTTGTCTTATGCATTTTACTGCCTATACCATCCACCAGTTCGCAGAAGTTATTCAATGTAGAGAGCAAAACATTAATATCCCCCAAATTAATAGCATCCCCCCTATTTTTTAAGGAACTATGTTGATGCCATAGTCATAAGAGAAACTCTTCCTGAGGCATGTTTCACTATCTTTTCTCCAGAAGACAAGTAGTAAGAGAAGGGCACACTGGGTGGAAGGGTCAGATAGCCTTTTCTCTACAAGGCACCAAGAGATGTGTGACCCATCAACTGGAGTTCTACTCCACCTGCACTTCAACAGTGAAATGCAGCCTGAAAGGGGGGCCCAGTTAGCCCAGTGTTGTTGACACTGATGACAGTAGATGTCAGGCAGCATCCCTTCCTTGTCTTACTTGGAGGCACCAGGGATTGATCCTTGCATCTTCTGCAAGCAAAATGAATGTTCTGCTTTGGGTTAGAGGCCTTACCCATTAAGGCATCTGCCCATTGCCCCTCCCTCAGTGCTGTGATGAAATTTGTACCCACCCCCCACCACAAGCCAGCATTTCACTAGTAAAAAATTGAGACATGGATTGTAGAAAATCAGATGCAAAGCTCTGCTGAGCCATGAAGCAGGTTGTCTAGTCTTGGGCATGCCATTTTCTCCCCCTCACCTACCCCGCCCCCAGAGTTAACTCACAGGCTGCTGTAAAGGTAAACATTTCCATGTATACTGGGACAGGATACAAATGTGATCCCCGATCGCTATACCAGGGACAGCCAACTACAACCTGGACTTTTGACTGCAACCTCCTTAATTCTTGACTATTGGCCATATTAGCTTGGAATAAAGAGAACTCAGGGCCAAAACAGCTGGGTAGCACAAGGTTACTTATCCCTGTGTAGAGCCCACCATGCTTAGAAAGAAGTTCCTTCTTCCCTATAAATTGCCTCTACAAAGAAAGTGGTTACATTTATTTTAAACTGTCATAGTATATATTTATAGGTTGTTGATATTACCTTGAGGATGTCATCATATATTTTTGATAGTATTATTTAAAAAAGAGGCCACACCATGGGAAAGAATGGGACCCCAATCATTTAGTAAGCACTTAAAAGTAAAATAAAAGGAGCCAGGTGAGAAATATTATGTCCCTTTATCCCAAAATGTACAGATCTCCTCTGAACTCTGACTACAATTCCATTTTCAGCAAACCAGTTGAATTTTTGTACACTGAAAAATGAACAGACAGAAATAAGTGAATCAAAAGCACCATGTTTTACTGGATCAGTATCTAAATAAGATCATGTATCTTTTTAAGCTATGCTCAGTCATTGGCCTGTATTAAACTAAAAACCTTTCATCTTTTAGATCAACAGATCACTCTAGCTCATAGCTTTCCTAGTCCATCCCAAGAGTACATGGTTCTTGCAACAAACAAACAAAAATCCCAAACCAGCTCATAGCAACAGTTCACTCCTGTGTGCAGTGCAGCATTTATGGCACAAATTAATGTGACAGCAGTTTTAGTTCTGTGAAAGTAATGCAATTTGTCTCTTTACAGGGCAGCAATCTGACATATGGCTGCAGGGGCAACAGTATACTGCTCAGGTAAACAAACAGCATGCATGTGAACTGTTTCTTTCCTGTGCACTGTGGATGCCAGCACACTGACAGATTTGTCAAATGTGGAGTTGTAGTATGTCAGTTTGTGGTTCAAGATTTTGCTTAAACTTTATGCCTGTTCTCACTTTGGTTGCAGCAGGGAAATGCAGCTTAAGCCAATCAGATTCAGTGCACCAAAGATGAGGGAACAGGCCAAATACTCACTGCTGGTTTGCTAAGCTGTGGTCAAGCAAGCCAGAAATGTTACCAGGCCAAAGCAGGAAACTCTTACCATAACCCGCTGTGGTGTCACACCAACAGCAGCAGCAATTTCTCTGCGCTTCTCATTGTTAGGGTAATGGTCTTCCTGGAACATTCTCTCTAGCTCATCTAGCTGTCCTAGAAAGGAGGGAACCATTAAATAAGAGAATGTAAGAAGAAGAAAAGAAAACTAGAAGGAGCAAGATGGCAAGAATTACTGGGGATGTGGGGTGCAAAGAAAATATTTATATAAGCACAGGAAACACCTTTTCTCCACTCCATTATGCTACGTAATGCTAAAGGGCTAAAGGGTCACTGGCTACCAGCCCCAGAATGGATCACCTTATTGCTATATAGCTGTAGAGGAAGCAGGGGAAATCAGATGGAAAAGCTATTAAAACCTCCGGACATGCATTCCTCTTTGAACCAAAGACTTAATTACTAGATCCATTCAGGTGCCTGCCTGTCTTTTCCTCCCATTTTGGTTGAGGGCTGCATTGAGCATCAACTGAGGGGATTATGGGCAAATACATGCCCAAATGTAAGCTGTGCAAGATCACTGGTGCAGGGGCAGACTTGTTTCTATATCACTGAGACAAGGAGCAACTAAAGTCTTCCTCCGTCTCCAACAGACTAGATCAAACATTGTTTTCCAGATGCCAGTGGTACAGAAGCAGTGTCTGTAACTGGCAGGAGGGGCTGACTCAGAAACAGCAGTTGGTACATGATAGCCGCTCTGGGAGGCCACATGTGGACCATGAACACTGCACTCCTGGTTTCAGCGCTTCGTCTCTCAGAAACAACACTGCAGCCATGACTATCATGTATTCTTGAAAAGAAGCAACAGAAGATTTCGTATTAGCCTTATTTGAATTAAATATTGCTCTCTAAAAATTTCAGTTGCATTTGATTGCATTTAATTTCAATATTTTATTCTTTTATTAGCATTTTTACTGCTTGGTTTCTGGTTATTTTAGAGAATTATGATTTTTGGCATTATATTTAAAAACTAATACATAAAATACTATAGTATGTACATAATGATTTTTATTTCTGCCCCAGTGGTCCCTGAAATTTTTTTGCTGGTCCCCAGGTGTAAAAAGTTGAAAACCACTGATTTGAAGCATCACCCTATTTTATCACTGAGGGCAGTATACATTCAATTGTATCACAGTGGGAAAAAAGATAAAAATGCTTAAACCCACTATAATTAGAGCAAGTTAAAATGCCTGAATAAGAACATTCTTCCTGGTTCTGAAAAGCCTGCACTACACACACCAGCTGCCACTGCCCCCAGCCAACATGTCAGTGGTGATTGTTGCAAAATACTCCACTATGCTGAACTCTGAAGAACTTTAAGCAGATGTTGATGGTTTGGAAGCAACTGATATTGCCTTTTTAGTCATTGAACACTTCCTCCCCAAGCTCAGACACTTTGAGTTTTCTGTCCAAATGAAATGCATTTTACAACAGTTACCCTGAAGAACCTCCTACTGCTCAAGCCCTGAGAGACCCAATTACATGAAACAATATGAATCTGTTCTTAATAACCTACCAGCACTGTAGAATGTACGTGACTTTTTCCGGGTAGGTGGAACAGGTTCTTCGGGAGTTTCTGGTGGACACTTTTTTCCCTTGGTTCCATCTGGATTGCCTTTGGACACTACAGTTGATGCAAGCCTCCTGGTCTGCTGACCTGTGTAGTTAACTGTAGCACATTTGCCTGATCTGTGAGTAGCACACTCCAGGCTTAGGTTTTGGTTCAAATCCTCAATCTGCTCTGGTATATGTACTTCCCCAAGAGCAGGAGATGTTTTGGGGGAACATGCTGCAAGAAAATTGTTTTGCTCTTTCAGGGTGTCCTTTTCTGTAATGTTAAAGCAGTATAACTCTGCTTGGCTTTGTGACTTTGGATAGTCAATCAGTTCTTGGCCCAGCTCTGTTTCTGGAATAGGGAGATCAGTGTTCATATCACTGAAATAGGTCGGAAGGTGTCTGCATATGGTGGTGAAACCAAACTGATGAGGATCCAAAGGTGATTGATGTGAAGCAGACACTTGGTCTATAAAATAGTTTCCATTCTCTTTTTCTCCTTTTGCAATTCCAGAGTCCCTTTCTTTCACTATGATCTTCCCAGACTCATCTTCTATGATCACAGTGTGGAGCATAGACACATTATTTTTGGCTCCAATCTCACTTACAAGATTCCCATTTTGAACAAATTGCTCTGTGCATAACAGTGACCCTCTCAGTCCCTTCCCTTCTTGCTCCCCAAATTCACCCTCAGACACTGCAAAGTGAAAGAGCTCAAATTAGTATCAATGTAAGAAAACAAGAAGCAAAACAAGAAGCAAAACAAGAAGACAGGCCCTCACCCAAGGAGTTTACAATTTGAAGATAAACTATATGCTAGCTTAAATAATAGAATCATACAATAGTAGAGTTGGAAGGGGGCATGAAGGTCATTGGGTCCAACCTCCTGCCATTGCAGGACACCAGTTTACACCATCCCACTCAGATGGCTGTCCAGTTTCTTTTTGAATGTCTCTAGTGTGGGAGAGCCCACCACCTCTCTAGGCAGCTGGTTCCATTGGTGTATTGCTCTAACAGTGAGGAAGCTTTTCTTAATATCTAGCCTGAATTTGGATTGTCACAGCTTGAATTGATTATTCTGTGTCCTACACTCTAGTATCAGCAGGAAGAGATCTTGACCTTCCTCTTTGTGACAGTCTTTGAGGTACTTACAGAGGGATATCATGTCCCCACTCAGTCTTCTCTTCTCATGCCCAGTTCTCTCATTCTCTCCTCATAGGGCAGTGTTTCCAAACCCTGGATCAATTTTGTTGCCCTCCTCGGGACCCTTCTCATTTTTCTGCATCTTTCTTAAATCTTGGAATATACAGATGACTATACCATGTGTAACATGCAGATGACTATACCATTGATATCATCTGGATTAGGACCAGCATACACAGGTAGGGGAAACTTGATCTTCTCATCCAGTTGCTTTCCCCATACCTAAATTCACCCCTACACATGCACTTGGGCATGTGTACTTAAGAAGGAAGAACCCTTCCTGTGCAAAAATAACACAGGATGGACATGACTAAATGCAGCCAAACATACTGAGTACCAAAGTAAATATTCTCCTAATCATGGATAGGGGAGCTATGCATGATAGTATTCCCTACTCTCCTTCAAATGCACGCAGTCCTAATTTGAAACAGGACCATGGAGCTTTGGGAGAGGAGAGTTTAAGCTTCCTTACATTTTTGTCCTGAACTCCTCTCCATCAACCCAGGAAAGGATGAAAAAAAGAAAGAAGGGCTCCACTGGAATCAATGGATAAGTTTTTTCCTTATCTCTGTGGGAAGGATGTTGAGTTTTGGGATGAAAAACATGGCTGCATGCATTTGCAAGAAATATAGTCACATAAAGCTACACTATGAGAAAGTTTCATTTGACCCTCAGGGCTGGTTGGGGCTCAAGACTTTTTGATTAAGTCAAAGGCTTCACAGAAAAGGTGCACAAATGCATAATGAAATAATTTCAGATAACATGAAGATATTTTTCCTGTTTTTTGATATTTGTCCTAATGTACATTATAATGAATAATTAATACTTGGCTCAGACATCTAATACCAAGTCCTGTGAAGAACTGAGGGTCTTATTTTTTAATGTTTTTAGTGCTGAAATAACTTCCTTGCAAACAAACAAACAAACAAACCTTCATTAAAACAGTCATTCTAATACATCTTATCAGAAGCTTCCATTCCAACCACTGCCCCATCCATTATCTTGATTTTTTTAAAGGTTTTGTTTCTTTCCCAACCCTGGGTCACACAAAACTTTGCAAATGTCTACTTTTTCTATATCTTAATGAGATAACTTTGCTACCACAGCATTTGTTGAGCCACTAAATTTAAAGGCTTTAAAAAAAGATTTAACAAATTATCTGGGGATTGTCTATCATTGACTATTACTTACAGAATGCTAGGGACTGGAAACAAAGCCATATGAGAACAGATCGAAACATCTGGGCATGTTTGGCCTCAAGAAGACTGAGGGGAGATAGATAGTACTCTGCAAGTAGTGTCACTCAGGAGGAGGACAGAATCTCTTCTTGATTATCCCAAAGTGCAGGATGTGAAATGGTAGACTCAAGTTACTGAAGGAGCCTGATTAGCCTAACTAATGCTATTTGCTTTCTGTATAACTGCTTGCTTTGGAGAGGAAAAAGGGAAAGCAGGAATGTTGATAAGGTAAGACAAAAGGGGTAGTGTAAAGAAGAGGACCCCCGAGACAAAGGGGTAGTGTGAAGAAGACAAGCCCTGACTCTAGATTTACTTTTAGAGGCAAGAAACCCGTCAAGTTGTCCCTGGAATGGGTAACCAGAACAGTTTGTTGGGGAAAAAAATCCCCCATATACCCCCCCCCATGTGCTCTGGAAGTTTCAAGCCAACTTTTGTGCTCTCCCCTTCTTCATGTCTTTTCCTTGTCAGAAACTGGGAACGCTGTTTTAATGTCTTGCAAGTTTTCCAGTCTCTTCCATCTGCCTTACAGCCCTCCTAGGTAGGAAAAATTTCCTTCTTGTTAGATTAAATAATTGCATTTGAAATCCCAGGGGGGTGGGGGGGGATGCTGATGAGCAGATGAAAGATGGAGAGATATATACGTGTGCATACGGTTGAAAATTTGCTGGTAAAGTCTTAGAAATTTGAAAGGTTGTGTTTAGCAATTAGCCTGAGCAGTAAAGATATTTTTCTGGATTTTGTGTGTGTGCCATGTGAGAATGAGAGTGTGCATTTGACAGGAATTCCTTGATTCAAGGGGTGCTTGGTGTGAGTAAGAATTTTAAGAGTTTTAGTAAATGGTGACTGGGTACTTTTTCAAAAAAAAAAAAAGGGAAGAAAAGTGTAACTTTTGGGGTAAAGAAAATAAAAAAAAAAAAAAAAAAAATGAAAAAGAGAGGAATGGTCTTGCTAAGAGCACTCCCATATTTAAAGAGACAGTAACTGCAGCCTCTTCTCTGGGTTTGGTCTGGCCAACTGAATTCAGGGAAATTTGTGCTGGAAAATTTGGATTTCTTGACTCTGTGGGCTTGGCTATTCCACAGAGCCAAGAAAAGGGGGGATGCTCAGGCAAGAAAGTACCACCACTTTGTGAGTACTGCAGAAGCAGCACACACAAAGCCTTTCAGCACGTGCAGAGTTCAAAGCACTTTGGGAGTGTGGAGCAGCCCTGTTTTCAACCACAGATTGAGGGTGGGCTTTCATTAGTTCTCAAAAGAAATCTTGATGTTTAAATATATATATAAAAGAGGGTCTATAACTGAGGCAAGGCATTTGAGGTTCTTTCAGTGTTCAAAGCTTGTATTGCCTCAGAGAAAAAATCCTGCCTGGGAAGGCGTGGATTAAAACAAAGACGTTTAAACATCCACAATGAGGAAGAGCTAGGGGAAGTTCTTTTAAGGAAGAAAAAAAATCTTTTTATGAACATAAGCACTTGTGTTCATCTAAGTGCTCAAGCATTGATTATTTGTTGAAATGTATGGGAGTTCAGGTTTGTTTGTACTCACTATGGGTTGGTGCATTTGGTATGTGTCTGCACTGGACAAGTGTGGGGAGAGGATCAGGGCTCTGGGAGCTGGGTTTTAGAGGAACTGCAGGGACTGACAGGTCTCCTACAGAGAGGGGCCAGGTATCAGGGGAGATGGGAGAAAGGAGGAGGCTGGGGACTCCAAAGAAAGGAAGCAGTGGGAAGGAGTTGAGGTGCATGTACACTAATGCTAGGAGCAATAAGCAGGAAGAGCTTGAAGCTCTCCTGGGAATAGGAAGGTATGACCTGGTGGGAATCACAGAAACTTGGTGGGATGAAAGGCAAGAGTGCAATGTGAACATAGAGGGATATCATCATTTTAGAAAGGACAGGAAGGGAAAGACTAATAGAGATGGGCTGATAGATGGAGTACAGATTAGGGGAGGTCTGGATGCGAGTCATCACTCCATCCTTTGCTTTGAGATCAGGGGACTGGGGATGTGCAGCAGGTTGAGCACTAGAAGCTGAACTTCAAGAGGGCCAACTTTGGCCAACTGAAGGCCAGACTGGGGAACGTCTCCTGGGATAGGATATTGGAAGGCAAGCGAGTTGAGGAGAAGTGGATGGCACTGAAAAGGGAGGTTTTGGAGGTGCAAGCCTTGGCAATACATCTAGAGAATAAGGTGGGGTGGTGGAGGAGAGCACCGCCATGGATGCGAAAGGAGGTGGTTAGAGGGATTAGATGAAAGAGGAACCTCCATAGGAAATGAGTACTGGGGCAAATAGGCAAAAGGGTAGCAAAAAGGACATGGGGAATTACAGACCTGTTAGCCTTACCTCCATTGTAGGAAAAACAATGGAAAGGCTCACAATACGGAGAGATCTAGGGATGCTAGATAGGGAAGGGAGGCTGGAAACCACACAACACGGTTTCCACAAAAACAGGTCCTGCCAGACAAACCTTGTGGAATTCTACAACAAGGTTTTGAGATGGCTAGATGGAGGGGATGCAGTGGATGTGGTATACCTGGATTTCAGCAAAGCCTTTGACAAAGTGCCCCATGATATCCTGGTTGAGAAACTGAGGAGCAGGTACTCCAGATCCAAAAGGATTTGGACAGACTATGGAAGTGGGCAGGAAACAACATGATGACGTTCAAGGTGGATTATGGCCCCTTTGGGGCAGGTACTTTAGCAATGGGAGAATTTGGGTCTGTGGAGTCCCCTCTGACTGCAGCAGAGGTGAAACCTTTTAGGCAGGACCTACAAGCTATTTTTGTCTGTTTGTCTGTTTGCTTGCTTGCTTGTATTTTGTTTTCTGGTGAAGAATTGAGTTTGATCTAACAAGCAGCTAGAGATGTTTGGAATAGAGAAAATCTCAACAGAGCAGGAGATGCTCTGTGCTGGCTTCTAGAAGGGAGAGTTGGGAGTTATTAGAGTTATATGATCCACGGAATCAAAGAGGCAGTACCTCAGTTCCTTAATGTACATAAGACTTTGTCTTTGGAATAAAAGAAATATGATACTCCATCTGAGTGGCTGGAGAGACTGAAGCAACAGATGCAAAAAATAAAAATAAAAATGGGGCAACTGGATCCAGGAATCCAGCCCATCAGATAGATATTGTCAAAGTGTCAGTTTGCAGGGAAGGCAGGGGAGGATATTAGGCAGAACAGAAGTTGCAGAAGTTAGATGGAAGAGAGGCAAGGACGTTGGAAAATTTGTTGAGAGAGGAACAGAAAGTGTATGCGA